AGAGAGAGAGAGAGAGAGAGAGAGAGAGAGAGAGAGAGAGAGAGAGAGAGAGAGAGAGAGAGAAGAGGAGTAAGCGAAAGGGGACGAAAGAAAAAGAAAAAGAAAAAGAAAAAGAAAAAAAGAAGAAAAGGGAGGAGGAGGAGGAGAAAATAGAGGAGGAAGGGGGAGAGAAAAAACTCGGAAGTAGCGCAAAAGTAACCTCGCCTCAAAAAAATATATGATCGGTACAAGGCACGAGACCTGCTGCAAACAAAGAAACAACACTGGGAACAAAAAGAGGTGGCCCTGCTGCAAACAAAGAAAAAACATAACATCTTTACAAAAAAAAAAAATTAAAAAAAAAAGAGGTGGGGCCTGCTGCAAACAAAGAAACAACACTGGGAAAAAAAATTAAGGACCTGTCTGCAAAAAGGTAGAAAACATTAAGGACCTGTCTGCAAAAAGGTAGAAAAAATTAAGGACCTGTCTGCAAAAAGGTAGAGGGACTCCGTTGTTACACCCATGAAGTGTTGATGAATCATTAAAAAAATGAAAAAAAAGGGAGATGTAAGGCTGACCTGCTCGAAAACAAGAAACATTACGAGCGCTAGAGAGAGGACCAAATACGACAATATTGACCGGGCATTGCAAAATGGGAGGGGGAGGGTGGATCTGCTCACAAAGGTGTACCTCCGGCTTGCAAAAACGTAAAACAGTATTGGGAAAAAAAGGAGTAAGGGCGTGGTTGCAAAACAGGAGAGCAAAGGCGGACCTGCTTGCAAAAAGGAGACACCATTTGTAATAGAGCAAGAACACGGTTGCAAAACAGGACACTAAAGGCCGACCTGCTCGCAAAGATGGACTAAGAAGGACTTGCTTGCAAAAGAGCAACATCATTAGGAACTGGACCGAGGACCGGGTTGCAAAAAGGGAGAGAAAGGGGTGGACCTGGTTTGCAAAATAGAGGCATAACCGGGAAACGAGCGGGGACCTGGTTGCAAAAAGGGACAGCCAACGTGGACCTCTTCGCCAAAAGTCGTTGGGAAAGCGCTAGGACCCAGTTGCACCAAGGGAGAGGAATGGTGGAACTGGTCTCAAAGGTGGACCTGGTTGCAAAAGTGGACCTGCTTGCAAAAGAGAACCTTCTTGGAAAATGAGTGAGGACCTACAAACTGTGAGAGGATTGCCTCTCTCTATCCTTTAGCATTTCAGGACTTGAAGCTAGAGGTGTCTTTTTGTTGCCACAGGGATAAGAAGGGGGGGGGGGGGGAAGGGAGAGGAAACAACTTTTAGAAAACTGGCCGATCTGGATGAAACATCCTCAAGTTCGTACTATCTTTGTTTCTGTTCTTCTTCAGTAGTATTAGTTCTGTTGCTATTCCAGCAGCAATTCACAAAAGAACAAAAGAGAGGGGGAGGGGAGGATGGGGGGTGATGCATACAGAAACAAGCAATACGGATGATCGTTTCTTTCATCAGCAGGTCTTCATCCCTCCCCCCCACCCACCCCCCCTTTCACCAAATCAGCAGGTCTTCATCCCTCCCCCACACCACCCCCCCCTTTCACCAAACAGCAGGTCTTCCACAAACAAACCTCTCTACCTGTTTTTTGCTCGGTTCCAAGCAGACAAAAGAAGATGTACGTTCATGCAAAACTTTTGCAAGGCGAAACCCATACCCCACCAAACCAGCAGGCCTTCCTCTTCTTTACTGCAGTGTAGAAAAAGGAATAAAGGAGGAGGAGGGAGGGGGGGGGGAGGGGGAAGGGAACAGAAGAAAAGAAAAAAAAGAAAGAAAAGGGAATCAAGAATGAAGAGCCGGTTGCAAAAACCGCAAGTAGAAATGGAACAAATTGGTTAACACAACTTCCATTCGCGTCTTTGTGCAGGAAATCAGCAAAACGATGGATTTGAATGACGGCTCAAAAATGTGGAAACACTCACACTCAGAGAGAAGCCGACATTAACAAATGTTGTCAACCTAAATTGAGCTGAGCATATTCCACAAGACGAATGACGACTCGAAAATGTAGAAACACTCACACATGACCGTTCGACCAGCAGCAGAGCCAAACCTCAGAAGTCGATTGCTCAGCTGTTTCTACCAAATACGAAAGCGCCGCCTTCGGATATTACCAAAAGGGGACAAACAGGGCTGCAATCATGTCCCTGTGGTGCCTGCGGTTTGTCGCTTCGCGGGATAATCTCAAGGGATTCAGGATCATACATAGCCACCAGGTTTTCCATAAAATACTATAACATATCACAAGGCAGCTCTCACGCCTACAACCCCTCTCTCTCTTCCAACTCCCTGCAGCAGTAGAGAAAAACTCGAGTGCACCAACTTATGGGGCTCTGAATTTTTCAAGTGCATACTCACAGTAGGACTTTTTCACTTATTTCTAGACCGCAATTGCGGCCAGATGCATCCAAGTTGGGCCGTAATTACGGTCAGATGCGTTTAAGATTGTGCTAGTGTACGTCAGTATGTTCTAAGAAAGGAATAGAAGCTTTGAAGATTGGCCTGCGAGGGAATCTCACTATCAGCCACACCTGATGCTTGATTAGTCAGTCTCTACCAGTGAGGCACCGAAAGCGGTTACCCGCAAAAGTTAGGGAGTACGGATGCGGCGATAGTAGTTTGACGCAAGGCCATATGACCAACCTCCTTCATACAAAGGGCCTCGCTGGGAGTCGGTCCACTATACGACATTCGCTATGTATCTGATGCTGATAGTTGTCCCGATACGTTCAAAATGTGCGATCAGTGAACGTGTACACGTCCCTCCTAAAATGTGCGATCAGTGCACGTGTACACGTCCCTCCTACATACAAAGAAAGGGCCTCGATGGGAGTTGCTCCACTAGACGACACTCGTTACGTATCAGAAGCTGGTAGTATCCCGATACATTCAAAATGTGCGATCAGTTCACAAGTATACGCGTCCCTCCTACATAAAAAGGGCCTAGCTGGGAGTCACTCCACTACACGACACTCGTTATGTACCTGATGCTGGTAAGTAGTCCCGATGGGTTCAAAATGTGCGCTCACTGCACAAGTATACAGGCAAGGTCGCAGTCCACATACACACCGAAGGTTGGGTAGTGGAGGGTGGGCCACAGAGATTCTTGGTACCTGCCCAGCTCCAGGATCATCTGCGTGTTCTGCACACAAAAAATATCCGCCACTACTGTACGACTCTCCCAATCCAAGGGGGGGGAAATAGAAAAAAAAACACATTTAACCCATTCGAAAGTGCACCCGCACAAAAAAAAAGAAAAAAAAAGAAGGAAAAAAGAAGCTAGTAAATATGGCGAAAAAAGATAAAAAATGCAAAAAAAAAAAAAAAAAAAAACAGAAAAGAGCGTGAAACCATGAAACTGCCAGAGCAGTCCAACAGTTCCACTGAAACAACCTTAACAGCATTATGAAAAAAACAAAAGAAAAAAAAAAAGAGTTTGTAGGTGCATTACACAGCCGTTAATCGCACTCTCTCATCGGATCCCCGCACTCCTATCATGTACTAGGGCTTTCCTGGGCAAATCTGACCATAATAAAGGGAGTTCCTGGATGCATCTGGCCACAATAGTGGACATTCCTGTATGCATCTGGCCACACATGATGTCCAGAGACCAGTCAAAAAGGTACTGGTACTAGTGTGGAGTACGCCCTGATTGTTCGTCAGAATACATCGTCGTCCGCTTCACAAGTACAAGCGCCTGCTGCCGAAGCAGACATAGTGAGAGATTCTATACATGCCGAAACTTCCCCACACTGTGAGAAACTCTGTTCAGACTCCTTACCGAGGCCGTACTCTACAGCAGACTACCATATCAGGACATACTATGTCAGACCGTCCAGACCATACCATACTATGATTACAACATGGTTAACCACCAAAGCCAGACTCTGAGGAGAGATGGGGAAAAAAGGGGATTCAAAAGATTGTGTGTTTGTCCCGAGGCCAGGCTAGAACACATACTCAGCGATCAAACTCCAATCCCACCACACCATACTCTGCGTGTACTTTGTCTTTGCTATGTCTATCTGCATACTACGTGTGTACTATGTCTTTGCTATGTGTATGTGCATACTATGTGTATGTGTACTATGTGCGTACTATGTGTGAGCTACATGTGTGTGTACTATGTGTGTACTATGTGTGTACTATCTGGGTACTATGTGTGTGACAGACTACCATGTCGGACCATACATACTATGTGTCAGATGAAACATACTACGTGTCATAAGTTTAAAAGCTACTAAGGTAAGAAGTCAAAAGCATGGTTAAATAAAAGGTAGGGTGTGAGAGGAGATGGAGAAGTGGAGGAGAAGGGGATTCACTGGACTGAGTGTGTGGCAAAGGCAAGGTTAGGATTGACAGGAGTCCTAGGAGAGCTTGGCATTCGGTCGTTTACCGACAATAATTTTCTGTATTTGTAGTCCTTGGCTGAAGGCTTGGGAGAACAGGATCCTGTTGTGAATGTCACCGATAGGAAGCCAGGAGACGAGGATCAACGGGATGATGATGATGGCCCCCATCAGGCCATCGTACAGGCGAGCAATGGATTTTATTGTTGGCCAAAAACCAACCCCTTCCACCAATGGTCGAAGCACCTGTGCAATCTGTTTCCGCATTACAAAATTTGTCAAACACCAGCAAATAAGTAAGTAAATAAAGAGATAAATAAAATTTAATAAATAAATAAACTAAGCCTACCAGAGTGGCCCGTGGCCACTTGCCCAGCCGGGCCAAGAAACATTAAAAAAATTAAAAAATAAAAACTATATTTAATATTTATTTTATTTTTTATTTAAATTTGGTAAATATCTAGGCTACCAGAGTGGCCCGGGGCCAAGTCCCCACATGCACCGTTGAACTAGCTCAACGCCATGGTGTGACACAGTTTTTGTGACTTAAAAACTCGAAACAAAGGGGGAAAAAAATAAAAAATGCTGCTGAAAGCTTTTTTTCCCCCTGTTTCCCAAAAACAATGAATAACCAAATGCTACTGAAATCTTTGTCCGTATTTTCTCAGAATTTAAATGGAAAATACAACAATCCTCAGTGAAAGGCTCCGCATACTACGCAACGTCGGAAACAGGGACTCACTACAACATGAAATGAACGTAGATAGTACTCCTGGCTTGGTGCCTTCACAGAAACGAGTTTGGGGCTGCACAGCCAAACACAGCATGAACACTCTGTCAGAGTGTCCTCCGATGGATGTCAGAGGGTCCTCCCACTCGTCAGAGTGTCCTCCCACAGAAGGTCATGATGGCACAAACACATTTGAACCCATACCCAACTCCAAGTGGGGTATGTAGTTCAACGGAAGATGGGCAGGGTAGGGGGCTTTGTATTCGGGCGGAAGGATTTTTCAGCACCTTTCTTGAACCAAAAAACAAAAACGAAAGTCTTTGTATTTTATACACCTAGGAACAACCGCTGGATGTGCAGCTCCGGATGCATCTCAGACGTCGCGTGGGGTCACACACGTTGAGCTAGTTCAACGTTGAACTGGCTCAACAGTGTATGTGGGACTTAGCCCCCGGGGTTACTTGCCCGGCCGGGCCAATATATATAATTTTTTATTCTAAATTTGGTGATGGATTTTGATGTGACCCTGAGGCAAAAGTTGTTCAGTTTATTTTTCTGCATAACATAGTTTTTTTTCCGGATTTTTCGGTTTTTTTTTTTGTTTTGTTTTGCTGGGGCCTTCCCTGGTCGTTACATGGGCTGGCCAACCGGGACCCGGGCGGCCCGGCTGGTAGCCTAGGTAAAGACTTTTTTTTTTTTCTTTTTTTTTTTGTGGTAACGAAACAAGTATTATTATATGGTGGGAACCGGGCCCAGCGTCCCTCACAAAGGTGCCGCAGTTCTCCAGCTGAGCAACGCACTTCGTCCAAGCAGAGCCCGGACAATGGTAATCCAAATCAACGAAAGCACGAAACCAACTCACCATATGCCATATCAAATCCAAAACAGAAAAACCAGACTCAAAGAGTAATAAGTCCTGTTCAATCTAAGAGAATCTAACAAATCTTTCAATAGCTAACTAACCCCCTAATTACTATCATAGCTATGCAACACCCGCGGGCGCGTCCGCGGGGCCGAGCTCGGAGGGCGGACGTATTCACGGCCGCCTCCACGGCCAACCGGGTCCGCGCCGCGGACCCGATTTAACCAGATTTTTCCTGAATTAAATAATAGCCCAAAAATATATATATATGGGGTTGAAGGGAATTTTAAGCCCTACAACCCCATATTTTTTTTTTTGGAATCCGACTTTGTTTAGGATTTTAAAAAAATCAAAAACTAAATTCGATATAAAGAAAAATATATAAAAGCTGGAATTTTTTTTTGTCATTTTTTATCATCAGATATATGGTCCCTGAGTTCACCTGTATTTTTTAGAAATGAATTTCTGTTTTTTGCAGGGGTATGAGGTGTTTTAGAAAAATAAAGATGCAAAATTTAAAAATAAATAAACAAAAAACTTGAAAAAAAAAAGGTTTGATTGATTGATTGATATTGATTGATTGATTGATTGATTGATTGATTGATTGTGTGTGTGTGTGTGTGTGTGTGTGTGTGTGTGTGTGTGTGTATGCGCCGGGAAAGCTGCGCGGCGCGGGGAGCTGCGCGCGCGCGAGAGAGAGA